CCATCTCAGTCTATCTATCTACCTACTTATTCCTCCCTGCCTGCCTGACTGTCTGTCTGTCTGTCTGTGTGTATATCTCTCTTTCTATCTATCTATCTATCTACCTATCATCTATCTATCTCTATCTATCCATCTACCTACTTATTCATCATCTATCCATCATCCCTCTCTCTCTTTCTCTCTCTCTCTCTCTTTCTATCTATCTATCTATCTATCTATCTATCTATCTATCTATCATCTATCTATCTCCTGTTAGTGTCTGTCTGTCTGTCTGTCTGTCTATCTATCTATCTATCTATCTATCTATCTATCTATCTATCTATCTATCTATCTATCATCTATCTATCTCCTGTTAGTGTCTGTCTGTCTATCTATCTATCTATCTATCTATCTATCTATCTATCTATCTATCTATCTATCTATAATCTATCTATCTACCTTACACTTATTTATATTCTTGCTTATAAATATATCTATCATTTATTTATCTGTGTCTACTATCTTTACTTATTTATCTATCAATCTTTACATCTTTTATTTCTTTCCTTCCTTCCTTCCTTCCTTCCTTCCTTCCTTCCTTCCTTCCTTCCTTCCTTCCTTCCTTCCTTCCTTCCTTTCTTTCTTTCTTTCTTTCTTTCTTTCTTTCTTTCTTTCTTTCTTTCTTTCTTTCTTTCTTTCTTTCTTTCTTATCTTTTTCTGTCTTTCATCTGTATCTATCATTGTCTATCTAATATCAAATCAATAAATTTATTATCTGTCATCCACTTATTTATCTACAGTCTTTCCATCTTAAACTTCCTCCTTCCCTCCCTCCCGCCCTCACCCCCTCCCTTCCTCAATCTTTGTAACTAGCATAATTCAGTATCTATCTTCACATTAATGCATTACTCTTTCCACAATATATCAATAAGTTTGCCATTATCTATATATCACCTTCCCCTATTAATCTGCCAATCTTACTATCATAAATGAATCAATCAATCAATCTACTGCTATCTATTTTTCTATCCTAATATTTCACTCAGCTTGCTTAATGGACTTATAAATGCATGGCTGGCTCTGTTGTATCTCTACAGGGAGAGCTACTAAAAGGGAGATTCCTGGCCTGGATCAGGCTTCCATTCCCATGTTCGTTCAGTTTGCACAACAAACTACAATCCACCTCTTTCCTCCCCACCGCTTCCGTGTCGCTCACTAATTAACTGTGGTGATTCTCTTAACAACAGCGGCAAGGAAGGTCCTAACATGAGGCAGACTTCAATAACGGTCTCACTTAACAACAGAAATTCCCTCCCCTTCCCTTCCCTTCATTTCTATTCTATTCTATTACTCTATTCTATTCTATTCTATTCTATTCTATTCTATTCTATTCTATTCTATTCTATTCTATTCTGTTCTATTCTATTACTCTACTCTGCTCTATTCTATTTTCTCTTCTCTTCTCTTCTCTTCTCTTCTCTTCTCTTCTCTTCTCTTCTCTTCTCTTCTCTTCTCCAAGGATCTCCAAACTTGGCAATTTTAAGACTTGTGGACTTCATCTCCCAGAATTCCTCAGCCAGCCATGCTGCCTGGGGAATTCTGGGAATTGAAGTCCACAAGTCTCAAAGTTGCCAAGTTTGGAGACCTGTGCTATATTATATTTCTATTCTATTCTATACTGCATTTCTATTCTATTCTATATTGTATTTCTGTTTTATTCTATTCCTGTTGTATTATTCTATTCTATGCATGTTGTATTATCCTATCCTATCCTATCCTATCCTATCCTATCCTATCCTATCCTATCCTATCGACCCTATTCTTTGTGGCTGCACCCCGAATACTGAAACATTGCTGTTCTGTCATCTGTGGTCCTTTTTTCACTCGACTGGACATTACCCAATTACTGCATCCATTCCCCTTAAGTATTAGCCTCCAGTCCTCTGATCATCTTGGTTGCTCTTCTCTGCACTCTTTCCAGAGTCTCAACATCTTTCTTACATCATGGCGACAAAAACCGGATGCAGGATACCCAGTGTGGCCTTACCAAGGCCTTATAAAGCGGTATTAATACTTCACGTGATCTTGATTCTACCCCTCTCATTAATGCAACCTAGGATTGCATCGGCTTTTTCGGCTGCCGCCGCACACAGCTAGCTCATCTTAGAATCCATATTATAGGTGTGCACACAGCATGGATTCTAAGGAGCCTTGCCGCTAAAATGAGCAGAAAATGGCCAGAAACCAGAGGTTGTATATTCAGCAGGTTCTGACCAACTTCCAGAGAACCGATAACAGAAATTTTGAGTAGTTTGGAGAATCGGCAAATACTGCCTCTGACTGGCCCCGCCCCCATCTATTCTCTGCCTCCTGTTGAGTCCCAGCTGATTGGCTGGGTCTTCTTTGGTTGCCCTGCACAGGAGAACGGAGCTGGAAAGCAGGTTAGTGGGAATGGGATTTTGCAGTAGCCTTCCCCCAGGAGTGGGGAGGGAATGGAGATCTTGCAGTATCCTTCCCCTGCCACGCCCACCAAGCCACACCACGCCCACAAGCCACGCCCACAAAACTGGTAGTAAAAAAAATGTGTGCATCCCACCATTGCCAGAAACCCATCAGCCACAGAAGCAGTGAACATAACTCTTGGCTGGCAGCGAGCTTCATCTCAAACAAAGGTAAACCCCAGAGTGAAATTAGAGAAGCTCAACGGACAGGTGAGCTGGGTCTCTCACCTGAATCCACCGAGTGGACCGTCGTCTTGCAAGCGGAGGTGTTGGCTGGGCAGTGGGTGACAGCGACGCAGTAGCTAACATCCATGGGCTCGCTGCAGGTATAACACCGCAAAGAGAGAACTGCAAGGCCAGAGAAGAACGTCAGAATCTGCAGGGTGGAGGAGCGGGGGAGTTGGGTGTGTCTCCATTTCTATCAGGACTGAGATTTACATCTCGACAATCTGGCAAAGTTTTCCAAAAGAGTTTAAGCACTTTTTTTAAAAAAATGAACTTTTGTAAAGTTTTTTTTTTTTTTTACTTTTGTAAAGGAAAGTTTTAACCAGGTTTTTGCTTTTGTAGAATAATATATGCAGGGAATAGAATAGAATGGAATGGAATGGAATGGAGAATGGAATAGAATGGAATAAGGGAAGGGAGAATAGAATGGAGTGGAGTGGGGAGTGGAGAGTAGAGTGGAGTAGAGTAGAGTAGAGAACAATACAGGACAATACAATACAGTGGAGTAGAGTAGAGTAGAATAGAATAGAATAGAATAGAATAGAATAGAATAGAATAGAATAGAATAGAGGGAAGGCAGAATGGAATGGAATGGAATGGAATGGAATGGAATAGAATAGAATAGAATAGAATAGAATAGAATAGAGGGAAGGGAGAATGGAATGGAATGGGAATGGAATGGAATAGAATAGAATAGAATAGAATAGAATAGAGGGAAGGGAGAATGGAATGGAATGGGAATGGAATGGAATAGAATAGAATAGAATAGAATAGAATAGAGGGAAGGGAGAATGGAATGGAATGGGAATGGAATGGAATAGAATAGAATAGAATAGAATAGAATAGAGGGAAGGGAGAATGGAATGGAATGGAATAGAATAGAATAGAATAGAATAGAATAGAATAGAATAGAGGGAAGGGAGAATGGAATGGAATGGGAATAGAATAGAATAGAATAGAATAGAATAGAATAGAATAGAGGGAAGGGAGAATGGAATGGAGTTGGAGTGGAGTGGGGAGTGGAGTGGGGAGCGGAGGGGAGGGGAGGAGAGGGGAGGAGAGTGGGGAGAATAGAATAGAATAGAATAGAATAGAATAGAATAGAATATATGGAGTGGAATGGAATGGAATAAAAATGAAGGGAGAAGAGAATAATAGAAACAGAAGAGAAGAGAAATAATAGAAGAATAGAAAGAGAAGAAAAGAGAAATAATAGAAGAGAAAGAAGAGTAGAAATAGTTGAGAAATAAGAGAATAAGAAAGAGAAAAGAGAAATAATAGAAGAGAAGAATAGACATAGAAGGGAGATAGCTGAGAAGAGAAATAATAGAAGAGAAGAAGAGAAACAGAAGAGAAGAAAAATAATAAAGGAGAATAGCAGTATCGAAATGGAAGAGAAGAGAAAGAAGAGGAGAGAATAGAGAAGAGCTGGAAGGTTGAATAAAGGTCCCTTATTCAGGAGGACACGTGAATCCCTCCCATAGTCACGTGATTTACAACCAGACGCTTGGCACAACTGACTCACGTTTATGACAGTTGCAGTGCCTCGAGGTTGCGTGGTTCTCCTTTTGCGGCCTTCCGACAAAGAAAGCCAGAGTGGAAGCCAGGTTCGCTGAATGACCCGTGTCCCTAATTTAACAACTATGGTGACTCGCTTAACAGTGGGGACCAGAAAGGTCATAAAACAGGGCAAAACTCACTTAACCAATGTCTCACTTAGCCACATAAATTTTGGGCTCGATTATGGTTGTAAGTCAAGGACTACCTGTATATATTCTTCCATAAAAGTAAAAAGCCGAGGTTTGATGTTATCGCCTTATTCTACTGCAGCACCAAAAGGAATCGGAAGTTGAAGATTTCTATCCTCTTCCTTCCTCTCTGTCCTACACTTCCCTTCCCTTATTCTTTCATGATTTTCTTTTGAATTTTCTATCATATTTTGATCAACTAATACAATTTCAAAACCAGGAGGAAAAACATAAAGAACATCTTCCTATATTGCGGATAGACACAGATAAAACTCAAGGATCCAGGAATCTGTTCGTAGAGCAGCTAAGTTTGCCACTTAACCTGGGAGTAAGTACGTGGAATCCTTTTAAATCAACATGCAACAGGTTTTTCTACAAATCACCCTGGTTGAGTTCGCTCCATAATCATAACTTTAGGGTGAACCACTTTTTCCCATTATCGGTAAAAAGAGGTCACACTTTCCTCCCACCATGTATTTATTTGTATTGTATATCTTAATGGGCATTGTTTACAACCCTACATATTGCTCTTCAACGAATTTGATCCCAGAGACCAGTTCAATCAATCAATCAATCCATCAACCTGAAATGAGCTGGAAGGGACTTTGGAGGTCTTCTAGTCCAACCCCTGGCTCAAGAAGATGAACTTAGACCATTTCAGACAAGCGGCTGTCCAGTCTCTTCTTATTTAATTCTTGAATAACTGGATAGCTGGGTTGGAAGGGACCTTGGAGGTCTTCTTGTCCAACCCCCTGCTCAAGAAGACGAACTTAGACCATTTCAGACAAGGGGATGTCCAGTCTCTTCTTAAAAACCTCCAGTGATGGAGCACCCACAACTTCTGGTGGCAAGCTCTTCCACTGATGAGCTGTCAGGAAGTTTCTCCTTAGTTCTAAATTGCTTCTCTCTTTGGTTAGTTTTCAACCATTGCTTCTTGTTCTGCCTTCTGGTGCTTTGGAGAATAGCTTGACCCCCTTCTTTTGGGGGGCAGCCCCTCAAATACTGGAAGACTGCTATCATATCTCCCTTAGTCCTTCTTTTCTCTAGACTAGCCAAACCCAAATCCTGCCACTATTCTTCATATGTTTTAGTCTCCGGGCCCTTAATCAGTTTAGTTGCTTACTTATAAATCTCTTAGTTCTTCACTCACAAATATCTGACCCCTTTTCCTTGCAAATGTTTGCAGCAAAATAACTAAATTGTCATATCTGCATTTGTATATGTTGGTATTATTAACCAATTGGGAATCAGTTTACTTCACCAATCTTCTTCACGTTAGCTGCAAAGTTCTAAGCGATGACCTTAAGCACTTTTGCAAGGTTTTAAAATAAACTTGTATCTACTTATTATTCAGCTGTGTATCCTCCTCCTTCTCCTCCACCACCACTGTTGTTGTTGTTGTTGATGATGTTGTTGTTGTTGTTGTTGTTCTTCTTCTTCTTCTTCTTCTTCTTCTTCTTCTTCTTCTTCTTCTT